GTATTCAAAGAGGCATGTGTGCGAGATATACATTGAATGCAATTTATATTAATTTTAAAGGTCATTTCGGAAGAAGAAAAAATTTCGTTATTAAAAGATTAGGAGTTTTCCAGCTGAAAAAAATCATATTTATATAAAAGAAAATATGAAAGGTTTCAAATTTTAACTGTCGCCCAGAAAAGTTTGTTAAGATTTTTTACACTCTCATTGAGCTCGTAATCTGTTCTTACACTCCCTCCTACTAACAATTTCTTTTGTCCTTTACTACTAAGCATAATTTTCCTCGTTCTTTTGACATACACAATTCAACAGCAAAATTAGAAAAATTTTAAAAGCAGCATGGCATTATACGTTTAGGAATAGCTATAAAGCGTTATGTGTTGGCATTACATTTTTTTCAGCCTTTCTCAGTTCATCGTATCCATATTCAGTTTCCTTACTAATATGGCTTTACAAAACTCATTTTTGCCTTTTTAATACTAAAGTTTTGTGTGTTTACTTTATATATCATATTCCTAGAACGTACACCACATAAAACTCGATTCAGCAGCAAAATCACAAAATACTTAAAAACAGCATGTATCTAGAATTTCCGATAGACAGCCTCGCGTGCTAAAGTTTTTTTTTTTTTCTTCGTGGGGGGGGAGCAGTATTGCTACTGCTCGGTTTGAAATCGTCGAGTTTATTAAACAAAAATTCTTTAAAGTTTTACAAAGTACGAAATAGATAATAAAGCAAATTCGAAATTCCAAATTTGGCTTCCAGGTGCCCATGTTCGGGTGGAGGACCACGTTATTCAAAATTTGATGGCTCCAAGTACCGTTGTTTTTTTTTTTTTTTTTTCATAGTGCGAGAAGCATGTTTACATTCATGTAGATTCTTCATTATTTATTTTTTTTAAATATAATACAGGGCGATAATATTTGGTGGCAACAATTTGAAGTGATACGCCGTTTAGAATGTTTCGAGACTAATATTCCATTCGGGGGTAACATCTCTTTTGGGCTAAAAATAAGAAAGGGAAAAAATCAAGGCTTTATAATATTTTTCTCTCAAATGTATTTCAAAAGTTCTCTAAATAAGAATTATAAGAGAATGTTACAAATTTAATTGAAATTAACATATTTATGCTTTATTTTGGGACAAATCATAAGGCTTTGTTTCAAAGGATTTTTATGGGGAAAAGTTAAATTTTTTTTTTTTTTTTTTTTTTTTTTTTTTTTTTTAATTTGAGAAAATTATTTCCTTAAATCTAGGTAATGAATTATAGCGAGTTTGGGAAATGAATGCTTAGTTTTATAAAATGTGGAACTCAGTTACATGAATGCAGTATCACCTTTGTTACAATAAGTTTCCGCATTTAAGCATAAGGTTAACGATTAAAAACCTGACAAAGGCGATACTGGCGATACCCAAATACCTCAAAATTTTAAAATTAAATACAAATAAAATTAATTTCTACTTTTTAAGGTAAGCAGTAAACAAATACGCGTGTGTAACAAATTTTATAAAAATTGCTTTTTAAGATATTACATTTTATTTCTTATGAAATATAATGCTTTGCAGCAATATTTTAATGAAGAAAGATGTAATGTATGGCATGAATTAAGTATTTGGGTCTATAATATTTATTGTATGCGATAGAAATATGAAAACCAATTTCAAGAAGAACGCAAGAGTTAACATTATCAGTAACGCTTCAAATTCTAATCTGAATTGTTTAATTTTATATAAGTTGTAACTCCCTAAATCTTAGATTATTTTATATTTAAAACTAATAATCCCTCTCTCAAAAGTACTTTTATGAATTTTTATAAATGAATAAAGGACTTCCTTCAAAAACATTATTTATTAAATCAACATCCTTTCAAACTTTCTTTTAAATAATTGTCTCAAATTTAAGACAGTGTTTCTCCTCTTCGCTTAAGGTTTTTTCTATAAACTATACCTATATACGCATCCTAAATCTTGAAAAGTATGTTAAAATAATTTCTTAATTGCTTAAGTTAAAAAATGTATATAATTAGTTTTATTTCATAGTGTATGAGTTAAACCATTTAATTTCCTCTCATTTTAAACACTTTAAAATGATCCAGGTCACATATGCAAAAATGCCTCATAAGTTATTAATATACTTCCGATTAGTAATCTCTATCTCACAAAACTGATTAGGTTGCTGGTAAGTAAGGCATTATAGGTTTTTCTTCTATTTTGAAATCTTTCAATTCTTATTACTGCCATTATCCTTGTAATCATCTTTATAGAGAAAACTTTGCATAAACAGCTATTGTTTATTTCTAATCAGTTCATTTTTTACTTGTAATCAGTTGTTCTCAGCTTGATTTTCGGATTTTAATTATGTGAAAATATAAAAAGGAAATGATTCTCTGCTCATCACATTTGCAAAAAAGTTATGAAAGAGAGGGAAGATTAAATATATATTATAATCAAATCATAAACAGTATGTAAAGAACTACAAGCGCGAATAAACTGATAAATTTTACCGAAATATTTTTCAAGTGAATAAACAAGTTTTGAGAAAAATATTTTTATTAGAAAATTCATTGTCTTATAACAGCAGAAGTTGCATTTAAAAATGTTACGAATCTTTGCCAATGATTTAAATCTCTTTCTCTTAATCTAAAAATGTACTTAAGAAATCTGAAATTAAAAAAATTAAAAGAAAGGGGGAAACGATTATCTCCCGAGGTACGTAATATATAGATTTAAAAACATCTTTTGATAATAACAAAAATGCCATAAATATCAGTAATATGAACCGGATCTAATGTAAATTAAACACAATGCTTTTATAGCTTTTGAATTGCTCAATTTCTTAAGTAGTTGTAACGTGAAAGATAATTTAATGATCTCAAGGCATGTCGAATGTCAACACATTTATTATTGTAGGAGTGATAAATGCAGAGTAGTGTTAACAGAATGTGCCAAAAGGTTTGTGCAAAGGTTTGCAAAAATCTACTCAAGATGCGTTTGACATCAAAAGAACTCGTCTTTCAAAGATTCGATAAAATTGTCTTTGAGGGTATTTACTAAATTGGGACACGGTCGAAGTTTCAAACAACAATTTTTTTAAGCTTTGAAATACTTCTAAAATGCGTAACAAATGTCTGAATGCATGCACTGCCCAAGATTTCGCTTCTTCCTTTAGACTGCCAGTATCCTTGTAATGTTCTTCCGGGATTTACACTTCAGATGGTAAGTGTGTTTTTTCTTGGTCTTTGTAACTTTTAAATCATTTCCTCCGGGTTTTACCCTAGTGGGATTCCTTTGTTTAATGGCAGTTTACACTTTTCGCTTTGTTTGATGTCTCTATACATTTTTATAAGGTATTATGATTTTATGGAAGTTTCTCCTCACTTAAAAAAGATATAAGATTTATTACAATTTCCTTTAATTTCATGTGTCCTACTATTCGTTTCTAAAAACAACTTAACCTCACTTTTAAGTACACGATTTTCCTTATTCATACTCTAAAAAGTAATAATTTCTTATTTACAACAGTATTTTGATTTAATTAGTAACATTAGTTTCTCTGTTTTAGATGTCATGTATCCCATAATCTCTCTAAATTACGTGTTTGCTTGCTCTGGTTTTTAGTTTTTAACGCGTGTATTTTACTAAATCGCATTGCTTCAATTATATTTGTTTCGAGTTATAATTAAAGAATTTATAATTGCACTACTTAACTATTCTAAAAGTCACTACTTAACTATTTTAAAATTATACTAATCTAGCCACCCCTAAGGAAGATTTTGGCGAACTATCGACCTATAATTGACTTATATATGAAAATATTTAAAACTCTGTATGTGAAAAAGTCAATTGTAATCAGTGCAATAATAAGTGTATCCGCTTCTGTCAGATTGAAACTAAAACGGGAATATAATAAACGCTTATCGAGTGGTTATGATCGATGGATAGTTCGGTCTGAATTCAATCCCAGGCGAAAGGGCTAGTTGTATGGTTGAATCTCACGGTATGCAACGTGAATTCTCAGAATCTCTTGGGATATCCTCCACGAAAGTATCCCTCCCCTCATGTGGTTTGCCATATTTAAATAGCCTAACCGCTAGCTGTTATGAATAATAACAACTAGCGGTTAGAATAGCACGGGGGTTTTTTATTCCAAAAAAAAGGAAGCAGTTGCAGTTAATCTTTTTTATCTTTCAAACTCTCTTGCGGGTGCATTAATTTGGGTAATTTATTCTTTTAGCCTCAAAGAATATTTGAGATGGGAATCAAAGGGTCAGTGTTTAAATTAAGTTTAACTAGAAAATCTTAAATGATGATCACAATTTAATTAAATACAAAACTTTACATTATTTGCTTTAGCAAAAAATTCTGTATTCTCACCAAACAAAATATTTTATTAAGCCATACCAACAATATTTCGCATAAAGCTTTAACTTCTGTCGCATGCCTAAGATTTTGTATTTTTTAACAGAAAAGCTGAGTAGTAGCAGAAAAGTAGCAGAAAGCTGAGTATTTATTTAAATACAGAATACAAAAATAAAAAAATACAAAAATGTATTTTTTGTTCTTCTTTAAATTTCCTAAAACATTTTCAAACTTTATAATAGAATAAAAAAGATAAGTTAAATGCGATTTGCAAATGACTAAGCTGCTCTTTTTGACTTTTAATGGAGTTTTTTAAGCATGCACATTATGTTCAGATAAATATTTTGTTTTTCACTTCTGAGCATTTCGTAATTTGAGAGAAGAGAGATACTCTAGGTATTTGCATCATTGTATTCTATATCCATACATTAGCATAAATACCATTCTGCATGCATAAAATGCAATTTATTTTACCTTCTAGAATGGAAGCCTTTTTTTTTTTCTCCGACAGAATAAATTTTATTTATTACACTTATGATGTTTTTGCGTACTTATGCTACTACGTTTATGGTGGGTAGCATATAATTTGATCCAGTTTTATTCCAAAAATTTTAACTTTTCCTTTCCTTTTCTTTTTATAGAAAACTAATGAAAAAGTGTCCGACTACGTGAACGTCGAAGCAAATGCCGTAAGGAGTAAAAATAGTATATATTACCTTTATTCACATATGCATCCATCTTCATTAGATCATTGGTCTCACATGGTGTACCACGCTCCATCGGTTCCTGTGGGACATGCAGTGGCATCACATTCCCAAGTTCAAATGAATCTTCCATCTCCAGAATTTATTGGCTCCTATTATAATGCCTCATATAATAAGGGACCTTCCGCAGCCATACAAGTACCTCAAACTGTTTGCCATTTTCCAGCTTATCAAGAACAATATACTCCATCGTATGCAAGTGCAGACACAGCTGTGTACTTGCCTTCATCGACAATATTATATAACAATGTTTTGTCCCACCATCAGTATGATCCAATTCTATCAGTCAACCAGCGGCTGAAGACGAGATTTGATTTCAGCAGACTAGCTGAATCTGCGACTACTGCAGATGTACCTCCGTTGGGAACTATTGGAGGTCCTCCTGATGACCCCTTCGGAACACTTGTGGCTTCATGGTGCCCACTAGGAATGAATCATAGATACGGAAACTCAAGGACTGGTATGTTACCTAATGGAGGTTCTACAAGACCAAGGAAAGAATTCATCTGTAAATTCTGCCAGCGCAGGTTTACGAAATCGTACAACCTTCTCATTCATGAAAGAACTCACACAGATGAGCGACCGTACACCTGTGATATCTGTCACAAGTCCTTCAGGAGGCAAGATCATCTCAGAGATCATAGGTAAGTTGTTTCTTTAAAAATGTTACAATTTTTCTTTAATTACTTTTGGAAGATATCTTTTGTTTTATTAAATAAGAAACTTTTACGCGAATTTAATATTAAAAGAAAATCACAGTAAGAAAAGACAATTGCTTTTGTAACATGGTTTTAAGAGAAATTACACTCAGTTCAAAATCACGATATTTTTTCTCTAACAATAATGTTAATATTTTGGAAAACAAAGCATATTTTAGAGCGAATAATTAGTAATTATCGTTAAATAGATTAAACAAGTTTGGATCTTCTATGACAATATACAAGAATGTAAATATATCAGTATTTTTCTTCCATTTTTTTATGTTTAATTCATGTATGAAATCAGTGTTCTTATTTCAGACCATGAATTTACATAAGCACATAAAGCACACTACGCCTCAAATATTTCTTACGCAGAAAACGAAAATTCAGAATTGTTAAAAATGATTAAATTTCTGAATGTAATGTGAAAAGCAGTACAGGGAACGAAAGAAGTTTTATTTGGAAATGCGAGTATTTTATATCAGTGTCAGTAGGTATATAAAACAACGTCATGATTTTACGACAACTCACGTCTTATTTCTGCAGCCTTTAACAAAGCCGCAGTTAGGTATTTTTCAAGTGTCGAAAACAGATAAATGTGTTCCTCTATATGCAACAGAATGAACCTGTAGTAGACCCTCTGTGAAGCTATCTGCGAAGAGAATAGTATTTTGGAGTACGCAAAACAAGCATCCATACTGTACCTCATTCTACAGAAATCACCTAAAAATGTGGCTAAAATCATCTGGAATCAAGAGTGATCATCTTAGAAAATATAAGTATTCCAGAATATCTGAAAATTTTGTGTTCTACAAAATTAAATTTTAAATCATAACTGTTATAATAATTTCTAATCGGAGTTCCAGATATTCATAAAAGTAAGAAACGTAGTAAATTATAGTTGATAGAAAAAAAAGCGTTAACAAACACGTTTTTGAATATTGAAATAGTATAAATAATAATGAAATTAGTATATAAAAACTTTACTACTTTTTAAGCGTTTTTATGCCTTAATGTTTCTTGCTTTTAATCACGCAAAATTATCAATAATTATTAAAATCTATTTTACTTAACTCTTGCAATATAGACAGAAGAGAGGTATATGAAAGTGTTTTTAGCCAAGTCAAAGATATTACGCAATTTCTTATTATTTTAAGTCTGTTGAAGCTCTTTTCACCACTTGCACCAATTTTTTGGTAAATGGTTAAAACATTCTTGATGTAATTTCCAGATTCGGATACAGGTGCAATTACTGAACAATCTTTCGAAAATCTAAACTTATAGTTGTTTTGGTGTCCAGAATTATTGGAATAGCGGGGTTTTTAAGTTCGATATTTGGGATGAAATTTCTGGAGCATTTGTATAATTTTGATATTTAAATTGTACACTGACGAGCCAAAATATTATGACTCCCCCATATTTTTCAATGAACTCATCTGGATGATGTGGAGGATGCATTATTAAGTGAGAATGGTATTGAAATGCTGATGGAGAAGGTAAGGAATCATTCTTGCACTCACTTTTGGGGGTGATGGGAATTTGATAGAGGACAGATTGCAATGCCCCGAAGACTCGCGACGAATATCTCCGAAACTGCGCGACTGGTAGGTTGTTCAAGAGCTGCCATTGTTAATATTTATGCAAAGTGCGTAAATGACTGTAACACTAGCAGTAAAGACCAAGGTGGTGGACGTTCACGCATCATCAAAGAAAAAGGATATCACAGACTGTTCCACAGCAAAATCGGCGCCAGACAGTGGCTCAGCTGACAGCCCAATACAAATGCAGGTTTAAGTGCAAGTGTTTCGTAACACACAGTTCAGCGGACATTGTCGAATATGAGACTGGACAGCAGACGTCCCATGTGTGCCTCTGTGGACTAAGCGCCATTGTCAACTACGCCTAAAGTGAGCACGGGAACATCGAGACTGGGCCATGGATAAGTGGTAGACAGTTGCCTGGCCATGACTGCTCATTCATTACATCGATGGTCATGTCAGGGTATGCCGTCTTCTATACGAACAGTTGCTTTGCCCTATACAGCAGGTCATACACAGGCTGTTGGTGGCGGTACTATGCTTTGGGAGACGTTTTCATGGGCGGCTGTAGGACAGAGAGCCATGTGGAAGAACAGACCATGAAAGCTGCGGACTACCTGAACGTAACTGCGTATCAGCTTCTCCCTTACATGACGTCTGTCTTCCCAATTGGAAATACAGTCTTCCATATCGCAAGAGACACGGGGTCAACGCCCCATGTCTCTTGCGATATGTTGACTCGATCTGTGTTAGAGAGGTTCGTGGAGTATAAGAATGAATTCTAATTAATGCTCCTGGCCACCTAATTCTGTAGATCTTATCCCGATAGAGCACATTTAAGATATCATGGAGTGACAGCTCAGAGGTCAACCACTACCATGTCGGAATACTTCGACTTTGAGTGACCGCTGCTTAGACATTTGATACAACTTGTCTCTAGGCTCTAGCGTGTCAACCAAAAACTTGCGGCATTCATGCCAAGGCAAGTTGTAGCTGTTTTGCAGGCCAAAGGTCGCGCAAAGCATAATTGAGTACGTAGTCATAATGTTTTGGGCTTTTCAGTGTATGCTTTTCTTTTAATGCGCCTAAATCCAAAAACACATTCCTCCTTAATCCTATGTTCAACGACGCCTAAATCCTGTATCATTAGAAAGTGCACATCAGGCATATCTCCTTTATTTTTCACATCTCCGGTTTAAATATGAGATGAAACATCTATCAATTCTATCATTTCTACTATAAAAAAAGTATTTTCTTAAAAAATTAGTGCTTTTATTAATTGACTCTTAGCTATCTGATCTATTTACTTTTTTTTTTTTTTTTTTTTTTTTTTTTTTTTGCCTTTCCCTTTCAATTTCAATTTAGTAGTCATCTTCAAAGGTAAATTTTTCTCATTTTTAGAACTATTTTCTTCCATCTGCTCGGAAGAAAGAGAAAATTCTTCTATCTCATTTGCTTGTTTGTTTAATTCAGTATTATTGAAGACACGAAATCTATCTGCATAAGAGAGGAATGTCTTTGTAAAAGACTATATATGGGAAACTAGCTCCTATTTTTATTACACAAGAAGAAAAACCAAGAACATACCCTTGAAGCAACTCCGTTCACCAGGAATTAACATGGATTCAAGTTCCTAACACACGTTAATCCCTGTATTAAGTGTGTAGTTTTATGTACAATTACAGTTTTGTTTGGAAAGCTTTATTTATTTAACTTTTTTCGTTTCTTGCAGCATTAAATTCTAATGAGGTAACATATATAAAAATTTTAAATACCTTTCTTTAAGATGCTATTCTTTCAGTTCATTGCAATGAGTTACATAATTGATACATTATTTGCTATACTTATCAAATGTTAAGCAAAAATAGCGAAGGGAAAATTATACAAAGTATGTGATACTGATTTTTCTATCTCACTTAATTAAATGCTTTCTTGATTTGGTTTAGTTAAACGATTAAAATAAAAGAATGCAAGGTCGAGCTGCCTAAGGGGAGAATGCCTTCGTCGGCAGAAAAACAGCGGCACGTATTTACCTTACAGATAAATTAATTTTAATTTATTATACTGCTTTCCATTAAAATTGTAACACCAGAAAGGGATGATCTGACGAACGTTAAAATCACATGAAAGGAAGAAGAGCTTGGAATATGCAACTGATTGGTATTTCAGCAGGATTAGTATTCAGACGACGCAGGAGGGAAAAACGTCATCTAAAGCATTGTATAAAATTAAAGTTGTGTAGTGGATTTCTCATTCACAAATTGCTTTGTAAGGTTAGAGTTTGTTCAGAATATCGTGTTATGCCTCGAATAAGAAGAGGAAATGCTTACCAGCGAATTTCAAAATTCCATACAGGCAGGATCGTTGCCTATCGAAAGCGTAGATTATAGTCCCATAATATCGCCTGTTGCACTAGTCGACATCCAACCACTGTCATGCAAATATGGAATCAAGAGATTGATAAGGATCATACTGTATGGCATGCAGGATCTCAACGCCCTCCCGTGACTAACGCCAGAGAGGACAGACATATTGTTAGGTCAGCCCTGCAAAACCGTACGACCACATCATGGACCATTAGTCAGGAAATGGGCATGTTTGCAGCACTCCCAGTATCAGCTCGTAAGGTGAATTGACGTTTGCAGCAGCGTGAACTATCAGCAGGGTGACCATCACTTCCGCTTCCCTTAACAAAGAGGACTCTGAAGTGTTGTAGAAAAAGAAAATATATACATTTATATATGTATATTTGCGACGTAATTACAAAATATTTACACTCGAACGCGTCAAATCCCATAGAACTCAATGGTAAATGACCCAATGTTTTGGTCACCACGTAGGGATCGCCGGTGCTTCAGAGCAGGGTACGGAGAAACTTGTTTAGGGCGACTGCATCTTACTTCCTACCTCCATGATTAAATCGTCTACGTATAAACATTCGTTCAATAGTTTAACTGCTTTCTGATTTGTTTCTTTAAAGGTATTTATGTGATGTTTGATAGTAGCGGCAAGCAAAAATGGACTGCATGTAGCTCCAAACAAAATGCGAGTTATCCTAAGTATTTTCGTGTTAGGTTTCCCATCCTTATCTGTAAGGTTATTTGCCCACAAAAATCTTACAGCATCCCTATCTTCAGGTGACAGAGAGAAATCTGGAGAAAGGCTTGTTCATGTCGGCAGTAAATGCTGTGCTATGTGTACGAAATTGTATTAATATCTCTAACAATGGTGGATTTAAATTAGGACCGGAATAGAGACAATCGTTTAAAGAGTATTCGTTTTTCGAATGGCTGGATGCATCAAATACAACTCTCACGGGTTTGTCAGGTCGAATAACTGGCATGTAATAAATTCTTCCTGTTTCTTCAGAACTTGGATCAATTTCCTCAGCTATACCCATTTTTA